CCTCCTTCCTGGCCAACAAGTCGTGTCGTTACTAAAGCCTTTCTTTCTTAAATATTTTAAGCGTGTCGCTCGTCTCAGCTTTCCTCCGGTCTTGGCTGCTTATCGAACCATCTACGTGAATGTAAATACGTTGCTTCTATTGCCCTCGTCGTACCGAACACACGCATACAATTATTCCTAATGATCTCTAAGTTTTTCTCTAGCACTCCCATTTTCCTAGCGTTCGCATACCTTGCGGCAATACTTTCACATCCAGTCTTCGCATTCTTTTCCCTCTGTAATATCCTTCGGATATCCTTGTTTTTTGCTGCCAATTGTCGCACGTTACCGCACGGAGGTATAAAGATTGTCCCTGAGTCCATGAAATTACCGATCGTTAGCTTTTAAATTCCGATCGATATCAATTAAACCTCGGCAAAAATTTCGCATCGTCAAATCAATATTCTATCCAGAGGCAATCTTTCCAGCTCCCCCGGTACATACTTGTCCAAAAGAAATCAGCACCATCAACATTCACAGCTGCTCATCTCTCGCGCATCAAGTCCATCCAAATATCCAGCAAGAACAACTTCGATCCATCGTTGGTCGATTCGTGACGTAGACGTGGGCCTTCTCCTTCAGACTTGACGTATCAATCTCCGTTTCTCTTCCGTTAAGTAAATCCTATCGTGCTTCTTTAAATCATAAAACGATAGTGTCAGTTACGCGTGTAATATATATAATCGACACGGTGTCTTACAACAGTTGCGAATATTTACAAATTGATGCGACTTAGGAGTGCGCCTGGTACTTACCGTACGCGATTAGGATTAAGGAAGAACATTATCTATTTAAATTCGGACATTAATTTACTAATTTATGGAAGCAGTGCTTTTCCAGTTTTTAATACCCTCAATTTATGAAATTCACGGCCTGCAATTGTTTACGAGATCGCTGAATTTGTTCCACCAACACATAGCTACGTCGCGGGGACGATTGGCGACAGTATCCAGAAAAAGAAGTTTATGGTTGCCATTTCGTGGTAGGCGTGCTTGCGAGTGCGGACTGCGAACGTATCGATATATAACGATAAATTCTATTCTTAAGAGGCAACGGCCGATATAACGATCGTTTAGCCAAAGATTTTATTTTACTAAGAGATACGGAAAGAGAATGGTGTCTTTTTTTTCTTTTTTTTTCTTTCTGTTAAACGGTCACCCATCCAGGCACTGACCGTGTCCAGCGCAGAATAACTTCTATGCGGCAGTCGTTAACTACAACGCTCAATAAACCTCGTCAAGGAGTCTCAACGCAATTTCATTCGTCGCGGGGACTGACAAAGCAAAAGGAGTTTTTCAAAACAACCTGAGGCTCTCCGCGCAACGAGCAAGGTTACCACATCTTCCACTTTAGCCAAACGATATGGGTTGGGGGTAGCCATTCCTCGGTGACCTCGAGCAGCGAATTAATCACGTTCAAACTTAGTGCTAGTAGCCATTTCGATAGTACACAGGGTATCAAGCAGCGGTGCACGACCGATCACGAACCCATGTCAGCCATGGTCGCTGTTTCTCGAGTATGGACTCTTTCAAAGATAATTAGAATCGACGTGTCCCCGCCAGTGTTTAAGCATTTACGCGCGTTTTACGGTTGGTATTTAAAGATTCCATTTTATAGAATTTTATGGTTAACGCATGATTAAAACGTATTATTAAATGTGTTACGGACACGTATTAATTCTGTGGGATTTAACGAAGCCACGAGGCTGAATAAAATAGCACGCTTGGTGCCTCTAGTATCGTTAGTATCGCTACCGTTACTAAGAGCAAACTGTAAGAAGATGTATACCGCGCATTATAGTACGTCGGTGGCTTCGTACGATACAGGAAGAGAAGCGCGTTCGGAAAAAGTTTGCAGAGTAATTCGATGACCACCGTGTCCACGTAGAACATGCAACAGAAACGCACTCGAATGAGAAGGCGATGACTCCCAGCTCTCAAGGACCCTTACGAGAAAAAATGCACTTCACGGCGAAGAAGAGTAGGCGAGATTGATATCCAGCAGACATCTCATTTCAGCTTTTTTTTTTTTTTACGACTACTCTTAATTAGTTTATTCGAACGTTATACAAAACTCGACGACTGTCTATGGAATTTTTCCTACTTTCTTCCGTTTAGTACCTCCGGGCTGTTTACAAAGTTTTGTTTTCGAGAGCTTTGTCAACCATCTTTTCGTAACAAGATAAAGTAACTTGTGCATTCCTGCGTTTCGAGAACTACACCGATTACCCAATGAATATACTATTTTCCTTCAAAATCTGTACAATTCTTTAGAATGAACGACTGAATGATATCGCGAAAGCTCGTTGCACTGTAAATTTATTTTGAACTCTGGGAAATATTTAGACACGTTTATGCAAAGTTGTGTCAACCACGAATAAACTTACCTTCTTTATGTGCACAAGTAAACGGATCAAATAATCATAGTTACTGCATTTGAAAATATTTCGGTATATATCGACATGTTAAATTGCGTACCATGAAACAAAGGTTAGAAAAAAAAAAAGCTTGTTTATGGTATATTTTAAAAATATCGTTGTACGAAACATTTTAACCGATACGTGTACGAATCGTAGGAATTATTAGTAACTACTCGAATGTTTATGCCAAGAATGTTATGCTGCCTTAGCAGTTGTTTAAAAATGTATTCGTACGTTTAATATTATTACGCTTTACGATGCGCATAGCACGTGAAAAATAATTAGTCCTTCGATTGAATTAAGGTAAGTTTATGATGTCAGGGTGCATTTTATAAGTAACATTCTTAGAAAATGAAGAACATGCGAGACCACCATTCGAATACAAAGAATGTTCTCCATTTCTATGCGATACCTTGTTTTTAATTTCTTTATTGTTTCTGTTATTGCAACTTCATCATTTACTTACCGTTCCTCTTTAAAAAGTGAGAAAGTATAATGAAAAGAAAAATATTTCATGTGAAACGGTGCTTATGTCTCGACAACTATCTCGGTGCGTACCAAGATAACGAAGAACTAAATGAGCCTGTAGTAAATCACAACACTTCCCTCCAGAATTATGAGCTAAATTTTATTACATTACTGATGAGATATTACCTTCAACTTTAGATACTTGAGAAATTTCTTCCTTCTTCACCCTCAGTTAAAACGTACGACGAAAGATAAGAAGTCGATGAGAATAAAGACGACCAAGCAGCGAACGGTCCATCAGCGAAGGACAATAAAATGTAGAAGCAGAAAAGGTGTTAACTGCACCATGTTATTGTATAAAAGTCCACTGATGACGCCGATACCTGATCTTGATACCTAACACACACTGAGATGCCTAAGATCCTGCAACACACACCATTTTTTCCATACTGTACCTATAACCTCTTATACAAATCACAGACTGAAACTACAAAAATACTTGCCAGGAGCATTATTACAAATCAAATAAATATAATGTAAGATCTAAAATTATGTACGTTTGTATCAAACCAAATTTTCTAGTTTTTCTTTCCTTTCAAGTCATTCAGGATAACGTAATTGATACAAACGTGACCTTTCGATCGAATACAAAATTCGTATATAAACACTACACGGTACATATCGATCGCATTTCTGTCTCGATCGATCGAAGAGACGCTTCATTTTATCAAAAATATATCATTGACTACATTTACGACACGTCGGATGCCTTCCTAGTCAATAAGTTAACACGAGTGATTCACGAAAGCGTCGCATTTGTTGCGTGGAAACAGTTTCGTCGTCTCGTGCTTTCGAAGCACGAAATAAACGTCGAAAAACAGATCGAATGTCTCAAAGAAAAACGGTACCGCAGAATGACGGAACAATTAAACTAATTAAAATGATCTCATGCACGATAACTTCCAAGGCAAAGAGAAAGAACTCACGTTCGTTACCCGACTCGCCATTTTCGAGAGTTTAGAAATGTTGGTTGAAATTTTGACTCACCGAACTTACTATGCAAAAACGACAGGTCTCATAAGGAGAATGTTGATTACAGGCGCCGTAAACAAATTATAACGCGACAACAAAGGAATTTTCTTCCCCAATGAACACCAAACGCCTCCTCTTCTCAGCGTATCCCGGAATGGCTTCCGTTTTCCGTGCGCTCGGTTATGTAAACCCCGAACATTGGATATTCATTGTTGCCAATCTACGCGTACGGAAATTCGGAAGAAATATTTTACAAAATCACATACGAAATTAATATCAACGTTCTCTACTCTAAATATATTTAGTGCAATTTTAGGATTTATTTTGTTTTCTAATAAATTTTTGCAGGGCCGGTTTTACCAAAATTATCGTGCGCCCCTTCAGAGGTATATACAAGGTGTCCCAAAAATGTTGTAACACCTTGAAAGGGGTGGTTCAGGAGGTGATTTCAAACAACTTCCTTAGCGAAAATGTTGTCCGAGGTTTCGTTAAGGAGATATTAAGCGAAAACCCCGACCAATCAGAGTGCGAGTATGCTGGTTGAGCGCAGGCTACACTATAGGCGACCGCGCTCATACGCTATCCGCGGGTGCTCCAACGGTATACGCGCGCTCTGATTGGTCAGTGTTTTTCGTTAATATCTCCTCAATGAAGCCTCGGACAATATTTTCGCTAAGGAAAAAGTTGTTTCAAATCACCTCCAGAACCACTCCTTTCAAGGTGTTACAACATTTTTGGGATACCCTGTATATCGGTATATTCGTTTACCGCCCCCCCCTGCGCGGGCCTGAAATTTTGTGTATATTCGTTTCGATAACACGAATCGTTCACTCGACGAGAAAGTCACCAGGTGGTTCTAGTCGTAACGTCGAAACAGATGGGGTCGTTTGAAAGTTTGTAACGGGTCATAAATGAACGGAAAATTAATATATTAATAAATTAATGTATCGATGGTATTTTAATAAAACGAATCATAAGCTGACGCAGATGGCGCGAACGTGCGTAGCTCTGTATTTGGTAACACTGTGTATACCCGCACGTCGTGATTCGTGATATTGAAAGCGACACAAATAAGTGCGGTTCGGTTCAGTTCGGTTCAGTTCGGTTGCGCGGGTAGACGCTGGTTCTCTGATTTCGTAGAGCGTAACAGAGAAAAATGGCGATGGCAACAACTCAAGTTAAAGGAAGTGGGTGGCCAAGGAGAGCGAGTAATAGTTCGTTTGAAGGGAAAGTGGTACAGAATCAATCTGTAACTATCAACAGGACAGTTAATTTGTAAGTGATAATCAATACGTGACTTACTTACACTATTTTTTAGAGTTAATGTTTTGACTGCCTCTCCTGTAGAACAACTATGGCCGGTTAAGAGACGCTAGCAATTAAAATTATGTTCCTAACACCTTTCAATGCATCTTACATGGTACAACCATGAGACGGCTGTTCACCTTTTCGTTAAGTAATTACGGAAATTTTAAGCAATTTACCAATGTATCGTTATACCGACCGTTAGATGATTTTAGTAATCGCTTATTTATATGCTACGAAATACGACATAACCAACTATTTTAACGAACCTTGAAATCAACAACGTGATCCAACATCTTCCATGGTTATTTGTATTATATCATTATTTAACCGGAAGATGCGATCGTTTGCTTAAAATTTCCAGATGTAGATTAAAATTATTTACTTTGTGCTAAATTTGCACAAGGTGTATTACATTTGAGTTACACTAAGTCCTGATTATTAAGAAACTGAGGGATATTTGAATTCTTTTGCAACACTATATTTTGTACGTATTGTTGCTGATGAATTTATAAAAACTGTAGCCATCGTGTACGAAGCACGTTGGCCCTCTTTCGTACATTGAATGTATATTTGCATAAAAAAATACATTTTTGTTAATTTTTACAGTCACCTCGGTAGTGTGACTGTTGATTTGTAATGCGTATATAATTGCAAATAGTTGTATTACCGGTGTCCATTGCTTTTACTTGTACAATACGAATTACTTTGATGCCTTGTATAAAATGAAGAATGTACAAAATAATTACAAAAGTCAGATTGTTATACTCTAAGAGTTATAAAATACTGTACTTCTGAAAATTAAAAAAAGAAATATCTGTATTTTTTTTTATTCGAAAATTGGCCTCTCACGTTTTATGTAAAATAAAACTTACAGTACGAAATAATTTTGTATTTACATTGTTGTGAATGTATTTATTTTGTGTTGGGTAGTTAATAATTATATCTAATTGTTAATCTAAGAAAGTATACAACGTTCATAGATGTTACGAATGTTCTGAGTAATTCTTTATGAAACAATCAACTGATTGTTTTAAAGTTAGTAGAAAGAACTCGCACAAAATATCATATATCTCATTTTGGAATTTATATCTTTTACTGATGCGACATTTGTAATGTTTCCTATACATATACGCAACAGAACATTGAAGAATGTAATAAATGTACTATGTATCTACGATTACATTACAAAGCATCATTTGGCACTTATAAGTGAAACAATGCTTTTAATTTGTATAATGTAACAAGTCAATTACATAGGTATAAGTAATTTAACAAATTGTTTACATTTTGGCATGCAAGTATTGACGATTGTGTAGCCTTCAAGAATACCAGAAAGAATTAGAAAAGTAATATTTATGCTAACAAGAAGTGGTTAAAGTCTATTAGTATGTGATGTTGAAAATGTATTTTGTTCCATTATCACCTTGCATATGTGATAAGGAAGTATCACAAAACTATAACAGAGTATACATATAAGTATTATGTATTTTTTAAATAAATGATACGAATATATTTGATAAAAGCAGTTTATGGCTACTATGAAATGTACTACTATAAGTGATACACTAATGTGTATGTATATATATCAACTGTAGTTGGCATTTTGTACTTTATAGTTAAGCAACCACATTGTATGTGGTGTCTATATAGAAATTTGCATTTATACAAGAAGAAGTATTATTCAACTTGTTATATGATACTTTGTTGAACACTGTTGAACATTGTATTTTTATACAAGCTTTGTAAATCTTACGAGTATGAATTTTATCGATTGTCACATGTTCATAATTCCATTATACTCATTTATTTCTTTAATGTACATACATTTTTCAATTATGTGAATTGTCAAACAACATAAAGTTTAATTATTTTTACACTACAAATCTGTATATTATTCTTCTTGCTTGCATGAAAAATTATATTTTCCGTTTTGTATCAAATGTGGAAGTTAATGTAAGATTACTGGAGAAAAAAAGATTACATGCTCATAATATCCAATGCAGTTGTGAGTACCCATATAATCATTATGGTTATATACTGTAATATTGTTTGTGGAAATAGTGTTGAAGAAACTGGATTTAGTTACTGAAGGATTATATTAAACATGAGAACCTAACACAAAAATACAACTCATTTATCATAGATATCCTTTGACAAACTATACATTTGGAACAAAAGAGCCACTCTTCGAGAAAGATCCATCTGTACCAGCAAGGTTTCAGCGTATGAGAGATGAGTTTGACAAAATTGGAATGCGACGCAGTGTAGAAGGAGTTTTGTTGGTACACGAGCATGGATTACCACATGTTCTCCTTCTACAACTGGGGACAACATTCTTCAAATTGTAAGCATTAATTTTGCTTTAAAGGATAATATAGAAGGCTTATTTAACAAACTCTGTAAGCATCATTTGTGTTTGTTTCTTTTCGTAGGCCTGGAGGAGAACTAAATGCAGGAGAAGACGAGGTAGAGGGCCTAAAACGGCTCCTTACAGAGGTAACAGTTAGCACGACGCCTTATGCTACCTTACGAGGTAGCTAGGAGTGGCACTTTGATATGTTAGATTGTAACACTGTTTATGAACCTATTGTACCAATCCTAAAGATGTTTGTAGAACTTATGTAACCGGGCCTGTAGCTCAAAATAGGGATTTTTTCATTTATTATATTAGGACTTACACATTTAGTGTGCTGCATGCCCGGACACTTCAATGTTCGTAGTCATAAAATTATAACTTGTTACATTATAAGTACCATGGTTAGCTAAGAACATTGTTCTTATTTCGCTCGTTATATGTATTAGTTGAAACATGAAAGAGGCAAACCACGAAGATTGTAACATTATAAGAAGATTGTATTGTACATATCATTGTTAATTTTTTGTTGTGATCCGTGAAAAAGAAACGAAAGGGAAAATTGTATTAAATAACACATAGTTCTAATAATTCTCGGTAGGAAGTAACTATCTAAAATGTCTCAGGATTATGGTTTTTTCCTCGTGTAATCGATAGGCAGCTTTCAGAGTTTATCTTACGCAGTAGTCAAGTTTTTAATTAAATTGACGCATATGTGTACAACAGCTGTTTCATTTAATTAGGTATCTGTAAGTGAAAAAAGTCGAAAGTATTTTAGCAAATACTTCTGCTCTGTACTACTGATCGTATAGAAATTACAGGAACATATTAGGGAATCGTTGATGAGGTTAATTGTTAACAAAACTAATTACAACCGTTTTAAATATGTAACAAAAATCGTGTAACCATGTTCTTAGTGGACTGAACGAAGAAGATTGTATCTTAAACCTATACATCAAACATACATGAAGTGTAGGGTAATTAATGTAATAAGCAGTACAATATTAAACTACCTTTTAGACATTTGGACGTCAAGATGGAGTCAAGCAGGAATGGGTGATAGAAGACACAATTGGAAACTGGTGGAGACCTAATTTTGAACCACCACAATATCCTTATGTACCACCACATATTACCAAACCGAAAGAACACAAAAGGTTGTTCCTTGTTCAACTGCAAGAGAAAGGTGACCTATTTTTTTAAGTATTCGTTTGATTCGAAAATTAATGAAAATTTATCGGCCGCTTTTTTTTAACAAATGTTTGAACTTTCAGCTCTATTTGCAGTGCCAAAAAATTACAAATTAGTCGCAGCGCCATTATTTGAGTTGTACGATAATTCACAAGGGTATGGTCCCATCATTTCCTCCTTACCACAGTCACTTTGCAGGTAAATAAAATATATCAAGTTGCTACTGTAACTGTGCCATTTCTTATTTAAATAATATTCTATTTTGTGTTTCAGATTTAATTTTATCTATATGTGAAAGAAAAGTGAGAAAGTGGAGTAATTTTATTTAAGTTAACTAAACTACTATAAATACATGTATGTATGTATGAGATGACGAGTGGAACGGCAAAAAGACTTTTGTTCATGTATAATATGACGTGCACCAGAAATTAAATCATTTTTTTAAGTAGTACTTATACAAATCATTCGCTATTTTAATCTCTAATCCTTGTATTTTCGTCACTTTCTACACTTTATGCTTAACGATAGTAACCATTATATCAACATATACTCTAAGGTGTACATATATTGTTAAACTTTAGCGTTTATCTGTATAATTGTGAAGCGTTTTAGTCTTATGTTATAAATTTTGTCGTGAAAGGTATTACATTTAATATACATATAATTTTATGACAAATATAATTTTGTAAAACCGCAATAAAATCTACGAACTTTAATCTTACGAAAAGTAATTGGATGCATCTTTGATGCGTGTATTGATAGCCCTCCCGGTTTTGATATTTGTTAATTGTTATTAATGTTTAATCGAAGCTTGAGTGTTGCTGTATGTATCATAAATGTTTAATCACGTCGGAGATATTAAGTTTTAATTAATCAATAGATATTAAAATTTAGAGAAATTTCTCACGATTACTTTTTCTCTATCAATACCCGCATCAAAAAAACATCAAAGATGCACTCGATTACACGGCGCCACCGTCGACACGGTTCCACCGCCATTTTGTGTTTCGCAAGGTGTTTGAAGTGGTTCGAAGAACACGTGTATGTGACATTCAAAAACGCCAATGTACATAGATGTCAACGAATACTTTCGTTTAACGTAACAGAAAAGTACACGTGTTCAGGGGAAAAATGACAAAGGAAGAGTCAATTATGGCAAAGGTATACATAAAAATGATAATTCTGTTCAACTTTAATACGAGATAGAAAGTATCTTATCTTAACCTGTTCTTATGATTTTTTCCATGACATCGACTACGTTCGTCACAGATGCAGTTGGTGGAGAATGGTTTGAAAGACTCTTTGTACAGGGTTGACGTACTCGAAAAAAAATTGAAAACAAAACTGCTAACAATGGAAAGCCGCGAACGGTTAGAGACGGAGTTAGAAGAAGTTAGGGAGGTACTTCGACGAAACGAAGAAAAATTGCAAGGGTTAAGAAAACAGAATACAAGGTCGTTCGTGTTGGCAGCGTGTTTAGTATTTGGATGTTTTCTGCTATATGGATTGTATTTATTGCTGTATGGTCAAATATGATGTAACATTTATCATGATCGTGTGTTACTAATTCCATACTCATTGAATGCCATGAGATACTTATAGAGATTGGACCAAATGATGTTACATATGAAATTGTCAACTTTAGTAAGTTTTAAGAAGTATCATGGAACAAAGGATAGGTGTAAATGTGACAAGCCTGTCAATAGTTTTTCTACGAATATTTATTCAAAATATACGTTCTATGAGACAGCTTTCTTTTATGAAATTAGACTTATAGTTAATCGATACGGTGCTATATATTTTTAAGCAACAATAGAATTGTGGTTAATATCTAATTTACAATGAGAATAATTTTCCACTTTTTTATCACTTAGGACTATATCATAACATAAACAATAATTGTCATTGTTAATATACAAATAATAAAATAGATACTCTTTTTTTTTTTACATTAGTTTCGTAATAAACAATCCTGTACATTCAGAGAACGTACTTATTGGACCACTGGAAATATTATAGATAATGTTAACGACGCGATATATTACTTTAATTTTATAGATATAATTGAAACATGTTAATTTAAGCAGCAACCAAGTCGTATTCAGGTGTCCCAGCTAGACGGCTTTGAATGTACTTGGCATGTATTTCAGTATCCAAGTAACTACTTTGAACTGCAGGATTTTCTTTCATGGCAGATCTCCATTCCAACTGAAATTATAAATAGTAGACTTGTAATTATTTATACGGTATTTATGGGACAACAAATTTACCAACAAAACTTACCAGTTTTTTGAAACGATCTCGTGGTATAACGAATTGATCTCCGCGTAAAACTCTGATTATATCCGACCTCTCCCACCATGGCCATATCATGAAATCTACCATTCCAGGAGAATTACCATTGAAGAAAGGAGTTCCCCTTTGCACCAGTTCTTTTTCAAAATGTTCTAGACCAGCTAGAGCAGTATTGAATACATCGCAATGTATAGATGTAGGATTATACAACTAAAAGAAACATACCTTTATTTTAATTGTATAGTTCACTATAAAAACTATTAAAAGGAGACATACCTTGTACATAGTACTTATAACCGAACCAAATCTATCGATCAACAAGTTATCCTTAGCTTTGGCTAGAGGATCACTTGGGTAAAGTTTATTTTGCGGATATGCTTCATCTAGATATTGGGCAATAATAAGACTCTCGTATAATGTTTCTCCTCCTTCCACCTCTATGCAAGGCACTTTGCCCAAAGGAGTTTTTTCTAGCAACCATTCGGGTTTATTGGTCAGGTTTACATAAACAACATCGTACCTATGTTCATACAATATTTGACAATAAGAATTAAATTAAGATAACGAAAAATCAGCGCGATATGAAATAGTAGGAAAGAAGGGAATATCAAATGGAATAGAAACCTAAAGAACTAGTTTACTCACGGTATATGTTTCGCGTCTAGCACCAAATGAATTCTTTGCGCGTATGGACAAAATCGCATACTATATAAACGTACTTTTCCAGGTACAAGAGGCGGCGCAACGGATCCTGGAGAACGGTAGCATTGCAAGAATTATGTTCTAATTGCATTGATCCCAGATCAGGCAATCTTACCGGCAGCAAGATGTTTACGAGTCATCCTGGTCGATTTACTGGATGGAAACTTTCGAGAATTCTTGAGTACAAACGTGCAATTTCTCTTTTAGTTGAAAATGTTTCGCATATCCTTATCATCCAACCGGTCTATAATCATCGATGACAGGTCGTCTATTGGCGGAAAAGGATTTCGTCCTTCCAAGCATATACGCACAAGTAAATTTTTTTTTGTAATCATTACAAAGCGTTCCTAAAATCATCTCGATGCATAAATTCGAAATGAATCATGCTCAATTAATAATTCCATCTACGCTTTTCCGCTAACGGAACATTATCAATCGGAAATATTTGAAAATTTATACCCGATTCATGGATCTCTAACTTCCTAGAAAAGTTCTAGCACGTAGCGATAAAAATTCTAGACTCTCGCGTAACTAGGGATATTTGGTGCTTCAAAGTTCGACTCAGGAGATGGAGCTCTAGTTACTCGGAGCATTTTCGTACATTTGAACGCGTCGTGCAGTGTGCAATTTATAAGTGTTGTAGCTTTGTTCAAAAACTTTCATTCGTTTTGTGTTTATTAGACAATTAAAGACGGGAGAAATTAGCATAAAAGAATCTTAAAGAAGATCTTAAATAAGAAGGAGATCTTTCCATTGAAAACGTGAGTTTCAATATATATATATATATGTATGTTCTTTAATGTTGAACTGAAAAAATGTCAGAGTTAATCTCCTTCCAGAAGCAGTATAACTGTTATTTTTAAATATTTCAGATACACTTTGAGTCTGACTTAGTTGTAAGCCACGAATAAGGTGGGTGGCGTTGATGTAAGGGTTGATTTCTTCGTAGGTAACATTTTACCGACATGTACATTATGAATAATCGTCTTTTCGCTCTGGCACTTACGAATCGGTTCCTATAGTAAACAACACTCTGTTAAAATGGTATCAATCGCCATTAGTTGTCAAAGTAGAAATACGAAATAGTTTTCAGGTCGAATCGATAAGCATTTAATTTACATTTAATTTAATTTACTTCCACGATGGTAACGGTATAAAACAAAATAATCCACGATAATGAAATAACCTTTTTCAAACGTTTCGACCCTCGAAACAAAAGTTCTATCGAGGTTGACTCGTACGTCACATTAGAAAGAACCGAACAGTCCGTTACCTTAGAAGTATGATAACGTAAAACCATGGAATTATATTTGATAAATTAACCATTTTCAAACATTTCCACTCCGATAATCGAAATTCTATTTCCGTTGATTTAGACATAACCTTGGAAAGAGCTAACTCCTCGACTCCTCGACTTGGAAACATAATCGCGTAACCTCGCAGACTTATCTCTAACAAATTATCGATCCGTTAAATCGCACTTTTAACTTAAACCAAAGTATCTATAATAGGAATGGAGCAGTTCCCTCGAAGGGAACTCTCGCGATAGCAAAGAAGGTTCGGAAAGGGGTCGCCGATATCTTTTAATTGCTTCTAACCTTTTTCAAACCGGAGTTAATACTTCCAAGGAGAAACAAGGAGAAATTGTGGGGTCGTGGTGGTGGGAGGTCGTAGCGTCGATTGGTCGGCCACTCAGCTCTGTGCCTCTATCGAGCCCTATCCGGCGGTAATAACCGTACACAGAGGATCGTAGACGGTGAGGCTAGGTAAGCGGTAGCACGAAGGACGCGCGTAGGTGGTATGCAGGATCGAAGGTGGCGGCGGGAGAATCTCGGGTTGAGCGTGACTAGTGGTAGGGGGGGAGGGGGGGCGGGGGTGGAACAGCGCGGGCGCTGATTGGTAGCAGAATCGATTAGCCGAGCCGAGCTAAACCTCCGGCACCGCGGCAGCTTCGACGACGCCACGAATTTCCCGAATGGGGGTTTCCCGTTGGGGCGGGCCCGAATCCAGGGAATACCTCGGCGTTCTCCATGGCAACCCGACCAATTCGCCAACCGCCGACAACCGAGGCTGACCTACCGTGCGTTGCTTATTTTTCTTTCGCGTTTTCTCTCTTTCCTTTTATTTCCTTTCCTTTTCTTTCTCTCTTTTTTTTTTTTTTTTCGTTTTTCTTTTCGGCCCTCCTCTTCCTCCATTTCTGTCTCTCTCCGATCCGGTAGTCCGCGCGACCCCCTTCTTCGTCGTTGCTGTATCCTTTGTGTCCCACGGCTCCTTCTCCCTTTGTCTCGTCGCCTATTTTTCTGGGTTTCGTTTACGCTGCAAGAAAGACAGAGGAAACAGAGAAAGAGACGGCAGGGAACAGAGGCTGAAAACGGTATTACGTGCCTTCCACCTCTTCCTCGTCCGTCTAACTTCGGGACACAAAGCACCGGCGCACATACCTCGTTACGCAATCTCCGGCGCTGACCGCGCGTATGTGTGCGCGCATAGACACGAGAGAGGTGGCACATTGATTTTGCCGACGACTGATACAACCCCGTCGGCACGTTTAATTAGAACATGGCGACTTTAATACAAGCGCACGACAACAAGAACAACAACAGCGCCCCTTCCCGTACCCACACCGTCCCCCTGTGTCCCATCCCCCTCCCCCTTCCCCCTACCCCTCCCACCCCCATACCACCCATCAAGTTTCTGTCGCGTCTCTTCACCAGGTCCACGCCAACAACGTTCTTCACTCCTCTGATCCCTCTAGCCACTGGCATTTAAATAGTACCCAGCGTCTTGTGGCGGCGTCTTCCTCGGGATCGGGCGTCTCGCGACCAAACCGACCGAGCACTCGCCTTCTTCTCTCGAAGGGGTCGCTTATCTACCTAGCCTAACGCGGTCTATCCTAGTGCCAGACACCCCGACGTCTGTGTTCTCTCTCTCTCTCTCTCTCTCTCTCTCTCTCTCTCTCTCTCTCTCTTGCGCACTCTTTCATCCGTCATCGTCGTCATCGTTATCATTCGGTGCACACCCTTCCAAGTTGGAGAACTCATTGCCCGCTCTCCTGGCCGGTCGCAGGCTATCGCGCGCAAATTCGTTTCGCTCACGCACCCACGTTCCCACACGCGTGCACGTTCACGCACGCTTACACGTTCATACACGCGTACACACCCACACGGGAGTACATTCTCGCGCTAAGACTACGTCCTCTACACGCCTACGCTACACATGAAAACACCCTATCTACATCGCAGCCCGTCGACGTTCCGTGGAACCAGCACGGAAAAGTCAGGTTCGGACGCGGTCGCTATCGTCGACGATATCGTCCGTCGGTCGCCTCGTGTCAGCGATGACCGAAACCGCAGGGCATCGAACGAGCCTGGTGCCGATATGTTCGCCGATGCGTTCGTCTTCTTTGTTCGAAGGAAACGGGACAAACGTATCGGCAAATTTCCGATTCAGGGAGCCTAGCGTTTCGACCGTCGCTGACTTCGAGCCGAGTCGGTATTTCGGGTAACGGATATCTCCGTTTTCGCCCTTTATGGTTGCTCGATTACACTTGGCCGATCGAATGCGCGATCGAATGCGCGAGACTGATTCAGCTCGCTTTCAAGAAAGCGTAAACGATCATCTCGTCGTGGGCGAAGATGCGACAGACAGTTTGTTTTGATTAGAAATGAATGAATTCTGAATCGTTGGTAGAGAATTACATCGACCCGTTGAATCGAATTAATCGCTACCGCGCGTTTGTTACGGGCTAAAGGGTCGATCCGTTTTCACGTGTACAAACGTAACCAAAGAAATGTAACGCGAGGGTGGACGAAAGATTCGGGACGGCCCGTCGTAGATGTTACCTGTCCGGGTGAACGACAGTCGACGGTTGGTTCCACGGAACGTTCGACGGGGTAGGTACGCTAATCGTCGGAGTAATTCTAGGGATGCTTACGTCTTACGAATGGTATGATACAGTATACGGCTTAAGGAGTTACGCTTCTTCGACAGAGGTACACCTTACTCGGTTGGGGTAGATCGCCGACGGGTAGTACTCGCGAGCGAAGAGTCTGCCACTTGGCTCATCGGAGCCAATTTCGTTGGCTCGGGAGCAAGCTCTTCGCGATTGTGCTCGTCGCGCCGCGAGCGAAGAGATTATACAGACAGAGCAGAGGAGTCGCAGGAACCCTAGGCTTCGAATAAATTTCAAGTTTGCCGACGTGTTTGTCTCGTTTCCTTCTTTGGGAAATGTTCAAACTCGTCGTTCAACTTGTTCGGAACGCGCGAACTTTGAATTTAGTCGAAGCATAGGGTTTAAGCCCATCGCTGTCTGTATATAATCTCTTGGGGACCTACTCCACCGTTCATATATAGATAGAGCCACCGCATCTCTCGCGTCTGATTGGCGAATAAACAACGGTGAACGCTGGCTGCGGATTTTACCCTCGGTTTTTGATATGACTCGACGTTGTACTTTCTCACGCTTACTGACTGCGAGATGATCGATAACCTTTTTCTCGTTCAAATTTCGTTGGTTGCTCGTTCTGCAACCGAACAAACGTCGCACTCGTTGCGAAATTACCATCGGGCAGTAGTTGAAAAACGTCGCGCGAGCGAAAGGTAAACGATAAACGCGATCGGATAAAACGAAAATTCCCGTGGAACGAACGAAAGATTGACCCGAACGAGTATTCGATCGAGTAAAACGTTGCACGGAATTTTTATTCGTTATCCTACCGTTCGAATAACAACACCGTGCAGAACTTTTATTCGTCGTTTTACCGTCCGAACGAAATCCTGCTCATCTCTGGCTCCCTCGAATGACTCGCGAACGACGATATGCGGTTCCTCTATCTACACTTCGTCGCGTAACAAATAAGTTAAAAGAGTTTATGATACACGCATTACACTTGGCCCACAATCGAACATGGCTCACATTCTCGTAGCGTTTTCTCATCGATCGAGATTACACAGCGACGGAGCGTCCCGTATCGTCCTCGAACTCGTCGATTAAACCACCGCAAAATAAAATCTCAAGTCGATCGCACATGGCGCAACCGAATCAGTTTCAAACCGCTCTGAAACCATCAGGTTTCGAAATTTTGTCTCGATAACTACTGGTAGCCGGTTTCGGTCGCGGCGCTCTTCCTTCAAAAATGGCGTAGAAAATTTCTGTGGTACACGGAACCAATGGAAGAGGATAGCTGACATATCTTCTGAATTCTGAAATGTGAAGCTTGTCGGATAAGACCGATCGCACGCGGCACGACCGATCAGTTTCGAACCGCTCCGAAACTACTGGCGCGTGACCGTGGATCCAATTCTTCGGCAGGTAAAACAAAGAGGGTAAACGGTTTGCGACACCAATTTCAAATCGGTTGCGCCGTGTGCGATCGGCCGAGACACGGAACCTCGCGTGTCGTACGAATAAAGGATATCAACGAATAACGCTTTATTCGCAATGCTTTCGGCGCCGAGTGTTACAGTTTCATTGAATGGGAAGTGTTGTGTATCGAACCTAGAGTGGGGATTTATTTAAAAAATTGAGCTTCGAGAGATGTCGGACCGTTGGTTGGAGAAAGGAAGATCGATGGTTCGAGTTCTTTTGCGGTCCTTGTTTCGATACCGGATCGATATCTTCGATTCCGTTCGGTTTGTTCGACGATGGTTCGACGAACGACGCGAAATCTGCTTCGTCGCCGCGGCGCTAAAGGACGCTCCCTTCGAAATGTGCATGTTCGATTCCATCCAGTCGGAAACGCCGACGTTTCTCTGCGGAAGTACGCCGGCTTGTTATTCTCCCGTCCAAGGCGACGTTCTTTTAGACAGGATGATTCTCGACACGCGGTTTATCGCGTTGTTACGAGCGAACGAGCTGCAATCGGGCGACGTCGCGCGCGGTATAAGAAACATCGATATCTTTTTTGTCAGCGATTTCGAGAAATTAGACTGTTCCGATAGGAGAGGATACAGCGTCGTAAGAATTTCGAGAAATTCCACGTCTCTGATCCGATTTCTTCTTGTCCAATGGTAGAAAAATCACGAGCTTTTTCTTTCGATCGATGCATCTGTATCTTTCTTAAGCGAATGATTCGTCGTAACGTCTCCACTCGGATTTCGTGACTGCGCAACGTTGGTTGATTTCAACTGGACGAAACTGCCGACGAGAATCGTCATGCGAACGTGCAACCCTGTACTTACGTAATCCATTATATTGTATGTACAATGTTCTTACAGTAATTCGAGCGCACCGTCGGCCGTGAGCGAGAGCTTTTCGAACGGTTCTCGCGCGAGATCGTCGCATCGCGTCGACGATCCACGTCGGTCGCTGCTTGCTGCCAGAAAATGGATCGAACACGATCCGTGCGTTGGCGCTGATCGATTCTAGAATTTAAATCCGCCCACTAGCGGGCAGAAACTTTCAGCTTTCGAATCGCTCTCCGTCTCGTTCCAACTCGTAACGCGATTGGATTTAGAAATTAGAGAATAAAGTGGGAAATGAATCTCAAGGAAGGTATATCTCAAGGTTTATGTTCGAAAGCATAGTGCAGAGTTCGGAGGAGTGACGATTGGAATTTAATTTCGAGGATTATTGAGACCTTCGCGAATAAATTTCCCTTAAAGATTTATCACGGAAAACTGTGTTTCTTAAAAGAATGTGAAGAAATCCGTAGAACTAGGTTTATGGAAGCGTTCGAATGCAATCGTCGCGAAGTTTGCTTGGGGTAATTCAGGATTCGAATCTTTGGGAGCAGTATAGTACGGCGCGAGCGAATCTTCTATAGGAAATAATCAAAAAATAGCAGAACCGAAACCATAGTATCCAAACCTAACGAGAATTTCATTTTCTCTTCATCCATCTTCGAGACTGGCGTACTAAGCTTGACAAAGATGACCAGGCTAGAAAGTGAGAGGTCAACTAACAAGTTAATTCTCACCCTCAACAAAAACAAATTGAAGCTCTCAAATAGAGGCCACATCCAGTTCTCCTGCTTCAATTCACCGATACAAAAACCACTGAGCACAGAAGATCTGATCTCATCGGGTTCAAAAATATCTAAACCCAACTAGCCGGCCTATGAAGTAGGAGCTCGGCTAAGAAGTTAATTTTCACCCTTCTCCAAACAATTTCAGGCTCTCAAAGCGGAGGCCTCGTCGAGTACACCTAATTCACCGATACAAAAACCGCTCGGAAGATTTATCCTCATCGAGATGAAAAATCGCGAGTGGACGTATCGAGGAGAGCGCAAGGAAGCTAGAGACGCGGGACCGATGTCGAGCGACGGACGGTTCTGAAGCTGGCCAGGCCGACGGTACACGTTGACCGGTGTTGACGGCGGTCTTTTAATTCTCTCGGTAGAAACTCGTTAACGTGGCGTACCCAGCGCGCCCCAGTGCTCGGCGGTGGGTCATGCGTAGTGCGGATAGGTGCCTAGATGAGGCGGCACGTGGCCCGAGGCCGTGTGGTGGCCCGCGTACAGGTTGGCACCGGGACTCGTGGACCAGTAGCTGGACGCCGATTGGAAGAGGCCACCCGGAACGGAGACGGACACGGAGGCGGCCGGCGGCGGCATCAGGTTCAGCTTGGCGTGTCCGTAACCGGACATGAACAGCTCGCTCTGGTATTTGTACGCGGCCGGGTCCGCAGCGGCCGGCTGAGTCGCCGCCGCCAGGCCCTGGAAGTCGAACTTGTACGCGTACCTCTTCCCGTGGACCTTCGTCATGATGTTCTTGTCGTAGTAGTACCTGCAACCAGAACGGGAACTCCTTGTTGCACGACGGTGAAATAATCGTTTAATTGGTGTTTTGTAGGGACGAAATGCTGGTGGAGGAAATGTTGATTCGATGTTGAAAGTTTTAGCTACTGTTTGTGGGGTTTTTTTTATGTTGGGGACGTTTATTTTAAGGAGGAGGGACATTATTGTTGGGAATGCGAACGAAGGGCGGGTTCGATTGGAGTTTCTCGAGAATTGACGGAGGTGGAAGAAATGTTGATTTGATGTTGAAAGTGGTAGGAATTGTTAGTGGCTTATTTATATTGGGGACGTTTATTTTAAGGAGGTGGGAAATTAACGTTGAAGTTGCGAATGAAATACTTGTTCGATACATGTTTGTCAAGAATTGATGGAGGTGGAAGAAGTGTTGATTTGATGTTTAGTGGTAGGAATTGTTAGTGTTTCGTGTTGGGGATGTTTATTTTAAGGAGGAGGGAAATTATTGTTGAGAATGCGAACGAAGGGCGGGTTTGATTGGAGTTTCCCGAGAATTGACGGAGGTGGAAGAAATGTTGATTTGATGTTTAGTGTTAGGAATTGTTAGTGTTTCGTGTTGGGGATGTTTATTTTAAGGAGTTGGGAAATTATCCTTGAGGATGTGAATGAAATACTTATTTAACTCGGATTTCTAAAAAATTTATGAAAGTGGAAGAAATGTAGATTTGACGTTGAAAGAGTTAGGAGCTGTTAGTAGTTTTTTTTATATTGTGGGATGTTCATCTTCAGGAGGTGGGAAATTAACGTTGAAGTTGCGAATGAAATACTTATTTAACTCGGATTTCTAAAAAATTTATGAAGGTGGAAGAAATGTTGATTTGACGTTGAAAGAGTTAGGAGCTGTTAGTGGTTTTTTTTTATATTGTGGGACGTTCATCTTCAGGGATGTGGGAAATTATCCTCGAGGATGCGAATGAAGTCTTCGTTCAATTTGAGTTTCTCAAAAATTGATGAAAGTGAAAGAAATGTTGATTTGACGTTGAAAGAGTTAGGAGCTGTTAGTAGTTCGTTTTATTATGGGGGATGTTTATCTTCAGGAAGTAGGAAATTAACGTTGAAGTTCTCCAATTTCGCAACAATTGATATAGATAGAAAATGTTGATTTTAACGTTGAAAGCATCGGGAAACGTTAAATCCATCGTATCAAGAGATGCTCGCGTTCGATGTTCCTTCGAAATTTTGTCTTTCATTGAAATAACGAGTGTCCATACAGCAAACAACGACAAAAATCACGTTTCGCAAAATCTTTCCTCGAAATTTACGTAGAGGGGAGGCTTCCAACTTCCAGAGCTCTCGCGGTGCGTACGCTTACTGTTCTCGCCGAAACTTCTCGCGTCTACGTCGGCTGTGGATGCGGAAGAACGAGTAGAAACCTCGACTGAGGAGGGGGAGGGGGACGGGGGAGGGGAGGAGGGGCGGGGGGGCGTGGAGCGAGCAGTCGCGTAATATAATCAGTCGATCTGATCGAAAAATAATAGCCGCGTCTGCTGTCGGTCTGACTGTCGGTGATTGAAATTTCTCCCTCCCCTCCGCCCCTCCGCCCCGCTCCGCGACGGCTCCCGCGCGCCGAACGAATTTACTTTCTCCCCGGATCTTCGATACGGACGTTTTGCCCATTAAATGTTGGGCGTTTGATGGATTTTTCTCCTTTTTTTTTCCCCTCCCTCTCCGTGTTCTCTCTATTTTTTTTTCTTCTTCTTCTTCTTCTTTCTCAAATCCGATTCCCGTTCGTCGCGAGAGGACGGCGAAGTAAATCTTAAATATGTTTGAGTCTGGTACAGGTATACCGGTTTCGCGAATACGTATTGGGTCGTCCGGATAGTTCGTGCCAATTAAAAAAAAAAAAAAAAAATAATAAAAAAAAAAATAATTCGAAAGCACGTTCGATTCTGATACATATATTCATCAACACCTTCTCGCCATTTAAGGACTATCCAGACAAGCCAGTACTTTGTACTCCGTGTGTTTATCGAAGAAATTTGTTCGAATCAATCAATCGGTTTGATAATCGACAAATAAATGTTTCGCTTCAAGTATGTACACTTATAACGAAACAAGACACGTTGTCACGGTTGTCACGGTTGTTACGTCGAGGATACGTGGCCGTCACTCACCTCAAAGCCCTCGACAATTTGTCATAATTCATGTTAGGCTTGGACTTCCTTTCGCCCCAGCGTCTCGCCACCTCGTCCGGGTCAGTCAACTTGAACTCGCCGTTGGTTCCTTCCCACGTAATGCAAGCCGCGTTGCTCGAGTCTGACAGTAGCTCGAGCAAGAATTGCCAGAGCTGGATCTGACCGGAACCGGAACTCGCGAGGCGACTGCTCGTCGCTCCGAACATTTGGTACGGATCTGAAAATCGTTCACAAATCAACGTGTATTAATCGAGCACTCTCGAGCCTCTCCCTGCACCCGGGTCGACGTCATTTTTTTTTCCGTTGCTTCCAAAAGAACATCTAAAACTTGGAAAAATACCAAAAGATTCGACGCTAAACCTGCCGACGTTCGCTCGTGACTATTTCTACTGGGACGGGACGAATGACTAGTTTCAAAGACGCTTCTTTTAATTAAATGAGACAATATTTTACGCGGAACTAAATTGCGTATGAGAAACTGTACAGAAAAATTTTGTAAACGATTATTCGATCGCTCGTGGTAGGTTCAGTATTGAAAAATGTAAAATTCCAATTAGATGGACGGTCTCGAAATTTTGTACGAAACGAATCCGCCCTGCGTATTTGTCCACCGATACTTTTATAGATACTAGCCCTCGTCTAGCTTAGGTGGTATAAATGCTCCCTCCGGACGAACTCTTCCGTTGCAGGCCGCGAGTTACGTGTAGGTTCTTATTTCCCTTTAGGGATCGCCTCATTCGACCCGAGATTAAACGATTTCAGTGGCACGGTACAGCTGGAATTAGCCGACGGTGGCTCGCGTGCTGCGCGCGTCAGAAACCGCGGGAAATCGCGTCGAGTTTCGTTTTTTTTTTATCGCGGTTCGCACGTCGAAAGCGATCGCGTCGGAGAAGAAGACGTTGAAATTTTCGTTTGTACGGTTCGCCCAACGCGGTCGAACCGTAATCTTTTTTTTCCTTCGTGTTTCTCCCCGCTACGAGCATATACCTATCCATTACACGGTTGTTTCCCCAGCGCTCCCTATATCGCCCTTTAAAAGCCTCACAATGCGTCATCACCGTCGTTCGCTACTGCTCAGACCTGGAGTGCCCTACAACCGTACAAAAGGATATAATCGCAACCCTACAATAGAATGGAAGTTCGTTTGGATCATAATAATTTCAATTGAAGGAACGAAACGACGGAGTGGTTCAAAGGGCGTACGCGGAATGTCTTCCGAGAGAACGGACGACTGCAAAACTGAGCATCGGGTCTCTCAGCCTGCCGGGATACGGATTAGAAATACGTGGCCGTCGAAGCGACAGATGCGGAGGCCAATTTTCGCCCCGACAATTATCCCTTGGGTGGATCTCGCGGGTTTAGGGCAAGTTTTTCGTGTTTGTTAGTTGGTAGCTGTTTGGTGAAGACGTTAGGTTCTTTTCAGTCGATTATATATAGAACGAATATTAGGCGGTTGAAAATGTTCTCGTTTTAGAGAATTATTAGGGAGTTGTTAGATTGGTAGAAAAATAATATCAGTTTTCGTACTATGTATTTACTTATTTTTAATTAAAATAAGATCCATTGCAATTTATACATTTTTGGCAATGGACCGCGTTCGTTCCAGTAGCGTGAACTTCGATTGGGTTTAAGAAAACGGACTACTTAGATACATAGCATCTGGCCCGAAATCTACTGTCTGAGTAGGTTTAGGTTAGGTTCTAGCGGAGGTGGCAATATTGGGTACCGTTAATGTAGCATACTGTCGACACGGAAATACTGTCTGAGTAGATTTGGTGTAGTTTTTGGTGGAGCCGATAATATCGAATACTGTTTATACACATACTGTCTGAGTAGGTTTGAGCTAGGTTCTAGCGGAGGTAGCAATATTGGATACCGTCAATGTACCATACTGTCGACACGGAAATACTGTCTGAGTAGATTTGGTGTAGTTTTTGGTGGAGGCGGTAATATCGAACACTGTTTATACACATACTGTCTGAGTAGGTTTGAGCTAGGTTCTAGCGGAGGTAGCAATATTGGATACCGTCAATGTACCATACTGTCGACAGGGAAATACTGTCTGAGTAGATTTGGTGTAGTTTTTGGTGGAGGCGGTAATATCGAATACTGTTTATACACATACTGTCTGAGTAGATTCAGGTTAGGTTCTAGCGGAGGTGGCAATATTGGATACCGTCGATGTACCATACTGTCTGAGTAGGTTTGGGCTTGGTATAGCATTGCGAAGTAAACAACTCGACGCAAGCCGAAATTAACATTGAAACAAAACTTAACATTACAACCGTGGTTATAATTATAAACGTTATACATTATGAAGGTTAACATTAAAAAACCGAGTGACATTAAAAAACCAAGTTCGAAAATCGATCATAATTTTTTACCAACCCAATAACACGTCGCACGCGATTATCATTTCGCAAATCGTCGTGCACGAAAAGGCCACGCGAAACGTTCCTAAAAATTTCCCGTTCTCTGCGCGTAAACTTGCCTCGCGCAGCCGGGGTCGGAAGCAGCTGCTAACTTCGCGAAGAAGAACAATACCGGAAGTTAACGGGGGGGGGGGGGGGGGCGGGGCGGATGGGCGCAGGAGGAGGGCAGAAGAAGATCCAAGGGAAATTTCAACCTCGGCTGGCACAAGACGTCTCCCATAAAAATACGTTTCGTCGATTATGAGAGGGCGGAAGGGCAGACGTATATGCCAGGGGGGAGGGGGTGGCGAATTGCCGGACCTCAAAGGTCGTTTCGCCCGATGAATCCCCATGAAACGCGTGGCTCGGTGATCGCCTTTCGATCGAACGGTAATTCACTTACAAGTTAATAATGGGAAGGGGCGCGGCACACCCATTTATCTGGACGAACGGGGGATATCGCCACAGAAATAGTGAAGCGCTCGCTGGTTCCCGGCAGCTTTTCTCCGTTGGTCAAGAAAACCGGGGTATACCACTGACCCTGTTCCGATTTCGTGACCAGCTCCGTCGTGTTCCAAGGGAGAAAATTTACTCTGATTTGCACGGGATTTGCGCAAATCTTCGCGTCCACCCTTTATTTCATGCAAATCCACGCGACCGGTTGGGGCGAATTTTCGATAACGGTATACCGATTTCGTGAAAAAATATAGAGAAAAGTCCCGAAAGCGTGGTTTAAACATTTTTTAACAAATATTTTATGGCGAGTTGTATCACTTTAATTTTCTTTTATTCGACTGTCAATAATTGTCTCGAATCAACGCGCCTCGCCTACGTACATTTTCGGTATCGTGGTGCGATAATATTGTACCGATTTTGTAAAAAAATATAGAGAAAGATCCCAGAAGTATCAAAGCAGTTTAAACATTCTTTTTCTTTTTTTAATATTTTATTCTCGTTGTATTACTTTAATTTTCTTTCGATCGCCTGTCGATAAATTACTCGAAATCTCGTTTGTTGATGAAACAATCAACGCGCCTCGCCTATCACGACACCCGCGTGCTTCTTGTTTCAGTGGCCGGCGCGATAATTATCGATGGTTTAGGGCGATCGCGAAATCTCGGCGTTTGAATTTTTAATACTCGTAATGGCAGGGACGGTAGCCCCCGGGGGGGGGGGGCCATTTCTCGGAGCACTTATTTAAAGCTATTGATCAGTCGGAAGGAGTAATTTTTGGGCGTGGCGGTAAAAAGTCAGGCTTGAAACGAGGGGGTTTGCGTGATTAGTGACGAACGTAATAATCGTGAAGGTCATTCCGTGCAATTGCTTTCGCAAAATTGCTGTCGATTGTGTCACGCACGAGTGCTCGCTACTCTATAGCGTGTGATAATTTTTTAAACCTCCTGGACACCCTTCATTAGGGTCCTAATAGCGCGATTACGGATCTCCTAATTTCCATTACTCGGTGTATCGCGATATCACCCAGCGTCAGGAAGTTTTCAATTTCGTTGTTTAATGCAGTTGTTGTTGCATTTCGCAGTGGTCAGTTTATTCGATCGATAATATACTATCGCCAACAAGCTATGAAAAATAATTGAAAGTATATCTCCATTTTTCAGCGTATCGTGATATCTCGCCAGGAATATTCAATTGCGGTTCGCGGTGGTTAGTTTGTTCGATTAATGACGTATTATCGTCGGGAAGGCAGCAAACATATTTGGAAGTTTATCATCAACATAGATTAACACCGTAGTGGCCGTTGATCCTATTGCGAACGATATCTTTTTTTCTATATTTCAATTTTATATTTAATACTTTCGCGAATATATCAACGATAAAGAGCGAACTGTATGGTTTGGAACACTAGAGGCCAGTAGAGCGTTAAAAAAGGTGTAGTGCTTTAACTTCTCAAAAATATCTACCTACTACATACCAGGCTGCCGGAGGTGGGTGTGCGTGTCCAGTGCTGACTTGGATAAGCTGCTTCCGTAACCTGGAAAAGAACAAACAGAAAATTATGCGCTGCATTCATTCAGGGCCTCGCGTTCTTTTGCGAATATCATTCAACGTTAGGTCAACACAATTACCATTCAGAACCCATAAAGAAACGTAGTATCTCGAACTCGAACAGTCACCCATTTCCCTTTATCGAATTTCATTTCCAGAATTCAGATCCTCCCTCGCGAAGCCTTTACTAATAATTTCAAGTATTTCAGTGGTCATCGTTCACGATCCATCACTATATTACGAATATCTTACTCGATCCATTTCTAACAAAACTGCTATAACATCGACCCCACCGATCAGTGTTTGAACAAGTTTGAGCCACGATAGTCTCACCAAATGGCATACGGGGTCATCCATAGTCCATTACCGCGTAACAGACACCGAACTCTCTCGCTCGGCGACGTTTATTCCGACGAGCTGTTTAATTTTCACGAAGGAATCGAAGGCGGCCGATGAAACGCCACCGATTGGAAACGTTCGGAGGGAACGGGTCGGTCCGTCGAAGATGAAAAAGTACAAGCTCGGTCGGGCGTTAGAATCCGTTAGAGAGGATTTCCGTGTAGGCAAACACGGGGCTGAGTGCTCCGTATACGTTTCTCCCCGTTTTCCCGTTCCATTGGCGTTTCGTTGCCTTTCCTCCGCCTTATCAGGCCGGCTCCTCTTCTCGCGTACGTGTGAGCAGCTAGGAGCAAACGTGACCCGACGGTCACGTTCGCACGAGTGTGCAATCTGTTTAAGGCACAATGCCCCTTAATTTCGCCTCGTTATATGCTCTCGTTACGGGAAATCCCTTCTGTCGTTCGCTGTCGTGATATCGGTTTGATCCTCGTTGCCCTCCGCACACCTAATCCGCGCTGATCACAAATGGCTTCGATCGATACTTCCCTTGGGAATCGAACGATTTTTTGGAGAATTGAAAGCGCGTTGGTTTGAAATATGTAAATACAACTGGATACTTAGAAGTTTAAAAATACAGTTCTTCAAGGTCCTCTTCAAGGTATCTAGAGTCTCTTCAAGGTATCTAGAGTCCTCTTCATGGTCCTCTTCAAGGTGTCTAGAGTCCTCTTCAAGGTCCTCTTCAAGGTATCTAGAGTTTCTTCAAGGTATCTAGAGTCCTCTTCATGGTCCTCTTCAAGGTATCTAGAGTCCTCTTCAAGGTCCTCTTCAAGGTATCTAGAGTTCTCTTCAAGGTCCTCTTCAAGGTATCTAGAGTCCTCTTCAGGGTCCTCTTCAAGGTATCTAGAGTCCTCTTCAAGGTATCTAGAGTCCTCTTCAGGGTCCTCTTCAAGGTCCTCTTCAAGGTCCTCTTCAAGGTGTCTAGAGTCCTCTTCAAGGTGTCTAGAGACATTCCACGAGATTTTGGATGTGTACAGGGGCAGATGCCACACCTCTAAACAGCAGTTGGTGTCCGCTGTGTTAAACAATTTGATTTCGTCTCTGATTGGGACGCGGGAGAGACTTGGCCGAGGGGTAGGCGACGCCTCGGGACCAGGTCGTGGGGTCCGCCGCAATCAGCGCCGCCGCGGGGCTGCGACGCCCGGCGTCCTTTGTCCGCGTTACAAGCCTCCTGACAACGCGATAACACCGAATCCTGACGTTCAGCGAACTGAACTTGGCTCTTGGACCACTCTACACTAGTTGGCGACTTTACACATTCTCCATGTTCGCGAGGGTTCGGGGAACGACGCACGAAGGAATACGGAGATTTTTGGAATTTTACTTTCTTCGAAAATAAAGCGCGGTATGACAAAATTTTATTCTACATTTTTGATTCAATTTTTCACGTAGAATCATCCCCTTACTTGCCTGTACCACCAGTTACGGGACACCCTGTGTATTATTATGTCACTTATGGAGATAAGCTGACAAGTGGTGGGAGTTTAGTATCAATGATAAGGACACGCCGAGGGTCACTTAAGCAAGCTCAAGTCACGGTCTACCAAGTCGAGGGCAACCTCTCACCTGCCGTGGTCACGTTTGCATTATCCTCCAGCTGTTCCGCCTGCAAATACGCTAATTGAATCGACTCGACAAACTCCCTATCCACCCCCGTCGAATAAAATATTATTGAACGCGGTCTGAACGTGGAATATCCCAGAGCCCTCGTCGACGAGTCCAGTCTCCTCGTGCTCGGTCTACCGGGCAGGACTCCTTCCTCGACGGGACCGTTCCACCCAGCGAAACTCTTTGCTCCACAAAGGGCGCGTTACTCTCGTTCGAAAGGAGCGATTTAAACGGCCGTCGAAAGGACAACGTATCCCCGTTCCGTCGGCCAAGTGGCAAAGTTCGAAGGTCAGCGACGCGGAGGGGGAATCGATGATCAGCGCTTCCCAGCGCATGCATACAGCGGTACGCCATACACGCATACGTCAGACGTCACGTCACTTCGAACCGACGGTGCTCCCATTGTCGCGCGTCTATCTGCGCATTCACGAGCAATTACTCGGGGCGGGGTAATCCCGTTAGGCGGTGTGCAGCTTCCTCGGGGGAGGATCAAAGGACCCGCTATTCCGAGCTGCTGCACTCCTTCGCTGTTACCGATTCGGAAATTCTCCTTCTCTCTTCGCGAAAGGGCTCCGCGAGAAATTATAGAAAGCTACTTTCGTATCGAAATGAACAAGAATCACCAAAATTTACCTATTTAGAATCCTCCTTTAGACCTCCTTCAAAACGGAAAAAACGTTAGGACGTCGAATATCGAGTGATTCTTGTTATTTATTTTTTTTTGAAGATAAATTTTACTTAATTTTACTTAATGTTCGTAACTCGTATACGTCAGGTCTGGCTCTCAATTGAGCACTGCGAGGACTTCTATTCATTTATAATACACACATTATGCTATAGCGTCTTCCGATGAAGGAAGATAGCATTGCTTCAATTCCAAAAAGAAACATCTCACGCGCGAAACGATCGAACTCTTGGACCGGAAACGTCTCCCAAAGCCCTTCTCGTCGAGAGTCTCGACTCGAGACACGCATCCAAGGAGAATTCGCAACGGATGAATGCGTCAAAGAAGTTCAAGAGCGTCGCCGTGCGAATAGTAGACAATTGAATCTGGCGACAACACGGCCCAAAGCGATCGGTGTAATCGGCTCTGAACGTGGTTGAAACAGCCGTGCACCCGTCGTTCTTATTTACGCCCGGCAATAAGTCAATTCATCGCACGGCGATTCGGGCTTAAGTGGTATCACTGACTCATACATACACCGGAGCGAGACAGCCGGAGCCTATTTCGGGGCATAAATCACCGGCGTCGTGCACGCCGGTGGGCCGCGCGGTGCGTAATAATGAGCCAAGCGAGCGTAGCACGCGACCCTTTAAGCGTAGCCGTTGAAACGAGTGGCTCGCAAGGTAGAAGGGATTAGCGTGCTCTTGTTGCGTGTCCCCACTTGATCCTGAGAGCGCCAGTACTCGCGGAATTCTTTTTGCCGGCATTCAACCGCGTAAAAACCGCGACTTTACGGCCGTTCGAGTGGCCTCTTTGATATCCCACCGCCCACGCGTCGAGAGAACGCGTTCCTTCGTCTCTCGTATCGACGACGATGATTTTGAGCTAGGTCGGGGCTGGCGAAGTTCGTCTGCACCTCCGACGAGCCATTCGAAAAACTCGAGCGACCTTTGCCTTTCTTTCTTTTCGTAAGAGGAAACGTTATTCGAATATTCCGACCCTCTATGTCTATCGAAGAGGTTTGATTTAATTGAATAATAGTTTTGAATTAGTTATATATATATATAGGAAGATATATATATATATATATATATATATATATATATATATATAAATATTGATGAAAAGGTAAACAAAATTTGTTCAAATTAAATGACAGGTTTGAAAATATATGTATATATATATATAAATATATATATATTATATTTATTTTTCAATTACATTTCCTCTCCTCGATCTTACTCTTCGAACCCTCGTAGCTTCTCGAATATTTCAAACTTCGAAATTTTCTTGTAATTAAATATCTTCTGATACGAACTAGTCGAGAGTAAATCGTGCAATTCAAGAAACGCAAGTCCCATAAATATTCGTTCCCCCTATGTATATATATATATATTTTCAAACCTGTCATTTAATTTGAACAAATTTTTTTAATAGACATAGGGGGAACGAGTATTCACGGGACTTGCGTTTCTTGAATTGCACGATTTACTCTCGGCTAGTTCGTATCAGAAGATATTTAATTACAAGAAAATTTGGAAGTTTGAAATAATCGAGAAGCTACGAGTTCTACGAAGAGTAAGATCGAGGAGAGGAAATGTAATTGAAAAATAAAGATAGTTCGCGCAGTCTTCTTAGTCGCAAGTATGAAATGAATTTTTTTTTTTCTTTTCACTCGCACTACAACGATCCTCGGCCCCCAGACGTTTTCGCGTAGGAATTCTTAGCTGCACTCAAACGCGTAGAAACGCTACTTTGCGAACGTTCGAGTGGCTTCTTTGATGTCCCGCGTGCATCGGGTTGAAGTAGGATTTCTTCGTCTTTGGCACCGAACGTGACTTCCGTTGCGTTAGGTTTGGGTCGCGATCGTGCGAGAACTCCCGTCTCTAAGCGAAACCTGGGAGAAATTTCGAAGCTGTATCTAGAAACTCTTTGAAAATCTTCAGCTCTCTCTGTATACTGTCTCTCTATATTCGCTGTAATAAAGCGAAAGAAACTTTTGGGACAACCTAATATATACATGTATTTATTGAATTACATAGGCGCCATTTTGTTCCACAACACCTTTCCACCTTTTCATCAATCAATCAATCAATCAATCAATCAATCAATCATTTCGATATGTTCAGAACTGTACCACCTACCAAAAATCGACACGGACTTTCCGGACAACCCAGTATAATCTGTATAACCGATACTCCCGAGCTAGAACAATTACCCTCGAGACAACGGTCCGCGATTAATAATCGTCGCCCATCGCGGGATCGTAATTCTTTCCTGGCCAACATCGATCTTCCCGTGGCGCGGGTACAACGGGC